GCCCAAGTTAGGTGTTGTGAGTAACCACCTCCTTTCCAGGGTGATGGGTGTTGACAGACATTTTTCTGTGTTGTTGCAATAACTTGCAGTATGAAAGCAATTAATTATATCCACTAATTGTTAAGAAAGGCCGGGTATTTCTGTTTTGAATCAGGACTGGGTCAAGTAAGTACTGTGCATCCCAGTGTTTCAATTGATTCCCTCCGCAGGCGCACTTTTAAAATGTTTTGTTCGTTCTTCTTTGTAGATTAATTAATTCTGATAGATTTGAGATAGTGTATCACACAAATCCACAGTTCCTTATACTCATGTTAAATGTGATTTTTATTTGGGGAAGAGAGGGTATTAATTTTGTTCTTCAGAATAAATGTAATCTCTTGAGCGGTAAAACCTTGTTAATTCTCATGCAGCTAATCCTCAAATAATAATTCACTTAGACTGACTTCACAACAAAAATAACTGCTTAGGTGCAAATGATTGTAATTTACTCTGTTTTGGCCTGTAAAGTGTACCTAAAATCCAAATGTATAGATAACTGGAAATTGTTCAGGAACTTTTCATTATCCTCAAAAAGTCACAGTCGCCCAATTAAAAACAAAAAGGGCAAATATTTTTAGAAGTACTGAAGCTAAGAGTTCTAGAAAACTCAGAAATTCTAAGTTTGGAAGAGGAAAAATATAGCCAAGAATGAAAAAGAAGCACAAAACCCACTGATGCTTAATGACTGCACAGAGCTATTAGAATAGTCAACAGAGGCAAGAGACTTCAGTAAACATTTCTGTTCTGTGCTTGGGAAGAAGGCAGATATGATGTTCACATCATGGGATGTATGATAACACACTCTCTGTTTTCACAATAATCAAGGAGCAGGTTAAACAGTAGTTCTACTTTAATTTGGCATTTTTAAGTCAGAGGCCCAGATAACATACATCCACGAGCTCTGAAAGAGCAGGCCAGAGAATTGTTGTTTATCGTTCATACAGATTTTTTTCCTAGTTCTCAGAAAACAGAAAAAATTCCAGAGAACTTGAAAAGCACTATGGAACTACTTTCTGAGAAATAAATGTAATCCTCTCGGTCTGACAGTAGGCTTGAACAAAATAATAAAATTATTGAGGTGATGAATTTAATACACGTAAAGGATAGTAATTAATGATAATGAGTCCTGGTTCTAGGAAAATAAGTTTTATTATGTTAACTTCAATATTCTTGATGTAGCTGACAGTTTGTGTAATAAAAGAAAGTTAAAATTAATACAGCTGTGTAACACAGTTGGCCTTAAACTTGCACGATATCCTTTTTTAGTAAACTAGGATGATGCAAAGTCAATGCAATACTTATGAAGTGTATAGCAGCAACTACCTGATAAGTTTCATGTAATTGTAAACGTTTCAGTGATGTTGCCTTGGGATCAGATTTTGGTCTTGTTTTATTTAGTTTTTGATCGTGGGGTAGGGCTCCGACAGGGGAGCCTGTAAGGCTGGAGCGCTGGAATCCATCTTCCCGTGGGGCAGGGACGTCCCAGCTGCGTAACAAGCTACTGGGCTGTCCATGCAGTGAAAACAGTAAACTCGAGGGAAGAAGTGTGCTAGACGGATGAAGGCATCATCTCAGGCTGAGCCATCAGTCTCCATTTGTCAAGAAATCCCTAGATAACGTTAAATTATTTCTGTTAATATTTGCTAAAAGCACAGACTGGGGAGTGAGTGCTACATAATGAAGAGGACAGGTGACTGTTGCGAAGCAAGCCGAGTTACACCTCTGCTGCTGGTTAACTGTGTGTTTGGTACAGCCAGAGGGGAAGTTGTTCTCAAAGACTGAAGGCTGTAAACTGTTTTTAGAAGGTGTGGGAATGTATCCTAGAAAGCAGTAAAATGGAAAAAAAGGGGTGCTTTAATGAATCTGGTGATAGATTATTCAAGAGATCCCTTAGTTACGTGAAATCCGGGCACGTATGTCATCCGTAGTGGATGGTGTCACTCATAAGCATGGCAGTTTGAGTTTGGTCCTCAGGGCAAAGCAGTTGCATGGCTGTTGTTGCTTTTACCCATCGAGCAAATTGCAGTGGGCGGAGAGCTGCAGCTTTGACTCAGGACAATGCCGCACATCAGCGTGCGCCCCTGTCCTTACCCTCCCGAGGCTGACAGCTGCTCCTGCCTTCTCTTCCCACTCTGCGGGAATGAAGGGTGTTCTCCTGCCCGCGCAGTCTACGGAAAGCCAATTCCCTCTGGAAAGTCAGTTTAAATGAATGAAGCCTGTGCTCTTCATTCCTCCATCACAGCGTTGTAGGTGACTGTTTGGGCATCCAGTTTCTTTTCAGGGCCTAATTCGGGCTTGTTTTTTCTCGAGCGTTGCATCTCTTGCCTCTTTCAGCCAGTATGAAATCCTCTCATGAAAAACACGCTCTTGAAACAGAGATGTGTGAGATTTTCCTTACGGTTGCTGAGGTCAAAAAGGGTCTTTCACTTTCCTTACACTGGCCGTAGTTCTGTATTTCCAGAGGTGGAGAGGCTGGCAGTAGATACTCACACCGCTTCATTTCAGGTGCTGGTAGCAAATCTTTTTAGTACTTCTGTGGTGGTTTTTATAATTTCCGTTGCTCTGGTTTGTACACTCTCAATTACAGCGTTACTCTTTAATAGCTGTCTTGTATTGTTATTAATAGTAAGTTATTCTGATTCATGGACAAAAAAAAGATGATAGAGTGAAACTGATCTGTTAAAGACAACTTTAAATATTCTGTCCATCTGTTTGCTGTGCCATTTGAATTACAAGCATTTTCCTATCTCAGCTTTGCTTTTCTTTGGCCTCTTTCCTTTCTTGAAATTTTCACACAGGGTTTTAGTAGCTTAGTAGGAAACTGTGACATACATTTGGTAGTACCAGCTTCAAGTGGTGGGTTTATGAGATATCTCTCTTCATCTGATCTTTTCCTCTGTGCTGTCTGCTGTCTTCTGTATCTCCTTTGCCTTTTCAGACCTGCAATTTCTCTAAGCGTACAGGAGTTTCTCCTTTCTCTACTGTCCCTCTTCCCTGACGACCCCATGTACCCTGGCTTTACTGAGCTTTCGCTGTGGGGATTATCTTGTTGTGACTACGGTAGCTTAAGTCACGCTAATTCTGAGCAATGTCCCTTTTTTTTCAGGTTCGGTCTTTCTCATCCTCCTTGCCTCAGAAATTGCCTGAGAACTCTTTATCAACTCAAACTGAATTTTGTCATAGTTCTCTGATTTTTAATGCTATGTATTTGCTTTTCTTGGTTTTATTTTTCAGTTTGGTAATGCAAAGATTATAGTTACAGGTTATAGTTTCACTTCTTATAGATGGTCAGAATTTCAGATTCATGCAGCCATGGCTGATGAATTTCTGTGGGTGATAGTGATTTTATATTGCCATGGGTTTTTTGATGTTTGGGGGGGGGCGGGAGGGGGCAATAGGGCCTTTGCAAGAGCTACATCAGACATTAAGCATTGGTCAGTGAGGTTTTTGCCAAGTTGGATGATGCCAAATCAAAGCTTCCACACTGCTCTTGAAGTTGTAATCTATTCTGGCATTAGACTCACCTAGCACAAGGAATAGGCTGTGCGTGGTATTTTGACAGGCGTGCTTTGGAGACAGTTGTTAAATATGTCTCTGATCTCCTGTCAGAGGAGAGCAATGTATGAGTTAGAAAGCTGGCGTAAGTTCTGAACTGAATGGCTGACTTGTTTGTTGTGATGAGCACCAGTTTCTCAGGATGCTCGTCTTTGCTGCAGCCTGGGGTAGGTGAGATGTTTGCTCATTTTCTTTAAAGTGTTTGTCATAACAGTCAGTCTGATCTGATCTCAAGCCCCGAGTCCATCTTACTTGCGGTTTGTGGTAGCTTGATTGGAAGCAGTACTCTCACATGCCAGCATCTAGCTCTATGATGTTTCTCAGTGCCAGCATCACAGTTTCTGTGTTTTAGAGACAAGCTCTATTGCTAGGAGTTTTGTCTAATATAAGACAGATGTGTTTTCTGCTGAAGACTGTTGTTACCAGAACAACTTTTTTGTAATGGGTGAGTTTAATGAAGATACATGACTAAATTATGCATTAGAAATATCCTATTTTGTGGGGTGTTGAGAGGTGGTAACAACAGCTAAATAGCATTTAGTTTGAAGAATTTTGAAGTAGTTGAGTCACTTTTAACAAACAAAAATTTAAGGGATGGTTTTGTTAATAAATACTTTCCTGGTGATAGTGACTGGAAAATGAATATAGACCAAGCTCAGAATGCAGATGTTTCACGTCATTCATTATAGGAAAAGTTAACACACCTACGGTGGGTTATCCACATCTGGAAATCTCCAGAGAGAGGCTGCAAACACAACAAGCGAGGTTCTCACTCAAGTACACATACGGGTGTTGACACAGCAACTCACTCAGGGTAGGTCTTTTCCTCTGTTGCTCAAACAAACGGCTTGTGCAGCAGTGGCTCCTTCTGGCTTCAAAATATGTAAATCAGAGAGTGGTAGGTGGTTGTTCAGTTTAGTGTCATTAGTGTGGTTGTAGTTGTTTTTTGTGACTCAGCAGTTTTTCGGTTGAGGCATTGTAATTTTCTGACTTTGTGCTTTGCCACCGCGCTGTATAGGCACAGCATTACCAGACTGTCTTATCTCAGCTGTTATGAATTGATCATCCACCAGCCAGTGCCGACCTAATAAGGTTCTTCTCTATTTCTAGTTGTAAACCTGCTTTCTCTGTTGAATTTTGTCAAATGAGTCATACTTGCTAGTATTTAAAATGGCTATATTTTTAACTAATAGTGGTGATGTTGCAGATTTGGCAGGCAAAGTGGTAATTATTTTGAATATTATCAAATTCTACAATGAGAATTCTTGATGAAAATATATGAGCTTTATTTGTATCTTGAATTACGGTTTCTCCTTATACATCATTATTTTGCAGAAGAGATGACACTAATATATATTTATTTTATTTGTCAAGTATTGACAGAGGTAGCTCTTCTTTCCTTTTAGGAATCTGGGTAAAAATGGCTTATCTAACAGTAGTATTCTATTGGATAAATGCCCACCTCCACGACCACCGCCTCCACCATACCCTCCCTTGCCAAAGGACAAGCTGAATCCACCTACACCTAGTATTTATGTAAGTAAATCTAATGGTGGAAGTACATTGCTGTCTTTTGTAATTATTTGGATATCTGAATTACATAATGTAATTACTTTAAAGACACACTATTCACAGCTGAATTCTAATTACAGTGCTCTCCCAACTAGTGTATAAGCAGGAAAAATGCTAACCTTAAAGCAAATTTTGAGACTTAGTTTGACTCTTAAAGTACTTGTAAATTAAGAATTTCAGCAAACGAGGAAAAAAGCTTCAGAATTTTTGTTTCTTATTTAATAGTCAAAATGTTGTCAGAATATGCAAAAAATGTACAATATTTCAAATATATATGTACATTTTTTGCAAGTAACAGTTTAGGTATAAACGAGCAAGTAATTAAACTAAACTCTCCTAACAATCTGCTTCAAAATACAGTAAAGAAAAAATTGATAAAAGTTGAGGTGATGTTAAGAACAAAATGTCATTAGGAAAAGGCAGGTTTTAGTTGCATAGAATTTCCTTATGCAACCATTAAAACTTCTGTTCTGAAAAGAAAGTTTCATAATAGCTTTAAAAAAGTTTGAGCTAACTTCCTTAGTAATAGAAAAATAAATTATAGGATGTCCACTTCCTTGATAACAAAAGAATAAATTATAGTATGTCCATACACCCGGTGTGAAAACCTCAAGTTAGCTTTGTTCAGCCCAACTTGGGGACCAGAAGCAGTCGGCACTTTGGTGTGATGCTACACAAATAGTCTGCCCGAGAGCTAGATTAAGTTGGAGGCAGTAATGCTTCCAGCTGTTCTCCGAGTGTTGCATCTGAATTAATCTCCCTTGTTAAAAGTCCGTCGCAACTTTGAGTCCGTACAAAGCTGGTAAGTCACCATGTTGCAGCAAACTGTGTAGATGTGCCAGTGTGGGTCCCAATATTTGGGAACTCTGTTTTGTTTACTGAAAGAGATTTCTTCAGCGTTTTAAAAGATTCATAACAATTTAAAAATAAAAGAAATAAAAAGATGGGGGAGACTATAGCATAAAATTGAGGTCATAGGTGCACAAAAGCATAAGAAAATCAAATGAACCTTTCTGGTTAACATGAGATATGCTGTGAGAGTAGTCTTTTTAATTATACTGTTTCTTGTATACATTATCTGTAGAATTAGCTTTTTTGACTTCTGTAAAAAAAGTTAGTATATTATCTTGCTCTTCAGAGAATTCTGTAGATTTAGAGAATGTACAGGGCTACTGTCAGATAAAGAAATAAACTGCGGGAGACCTGAGTTGCAAAAGCCGAAGCAACCTGGGAATAATTCATGCCAAGAAATAAATTGCAGTAACAAATTAATTTCAGGAGTGAACCTAGCTTTTAACATGGAAAGGGTTGTATGATGTAGCTGTTCATTCCCCACAGTGCAGGGAAATGGAGAACATTCCTGTCTTCTTTCTGCTGTTTCTCTTTTTTTATTATTCTTTCTTATTTTACAAATAAGGAGCCTAAGTTCATCTGACATCTAATATTTCATTATAATTTTACAGTTGGAAAATAAACGAGATGCTTTCTTTCCACCTTTACATCAATTTTGTACAAATCCAAACAACCCTGTTACTGTAATACGTGGCCTTGCTGGAGCGCTTAAATTAGGTAAGTTTACTTTCTATGTTTTTTTTCACTTTGGAAAAAAAAAAAAGTATGTGTTATTTGAAAAGAAATCTCTCCGTTCTTAAAAGTGGATATTTTATTTCTGTAATACTGTATTACTTGTGTATTGCAAGTAATTAGGGTAATGTGTCATTTCTCAGTTTGCTACTGTTTCTAATCTTGATCAACTCCAAAAAAAAAAAAAAACAACCCAAAAATCCAGCAGATTTTGTTGAGCACAGAGGGGAGCTGAGCTGTGGATATGGAAGCTTACAGATAGACTTTTTTCCTATGAAAACTATGGCAACATGTCTTTGTGCTTAGATTTTAATGATCTATAATCTATGTACAATATTTTGAACTCTGTAGAGAGAAAAATTATCATTGCTGGTAGAAAATGTGTTATATGATGGAAGTGCATTCATAAAACTATAGTCTGAAAAATACTTTATTGGTAATGAATTTAACATTTTTTGCAGATTGGTTTACACAAGTCATGTAAAATGTTTCTTGGAATATAGTCCATACAGTAGCTGCCAAATTTTTTCTCAGCTTCTACTGTTGTGCACAGAAAACCTTTTTGAGTGTTAATCATGAGTGTTAATTTTTAACCTACAGGTGGGCTGTGTTATGAAGGCTAAAGGTGGAGGAAAATGCTTTAGTTAAACCTTTAGATAACTCTAAGTATTAATGTCTTCTTTTCTTGAAACTTTTTATTGTATTTATGTCATTTATTAATTTTATTCCTATTTACTAGATCTAGGACTCTTCTCTACTAAGACATTGGTAGAAGCAAATAATGAACACATCGTAGAAGTGAGGACACAGCTACTGCAGCCAGCAGATGAAAACTGGGACCCCACTGGAACAAAGAAAATCTGGCGTTGTGAAAGCAGTAGATCTCATACAACAATTGCTAAGTATGCACAGTACCAGGCCTCCTCATTCCAGGAGTCTTTAAGGGTAAGTCCATTGTTGTTATTTAAGATATAATTTACAAACTTTATACTAACTCTGGAACCAATTAGTAACAGCTATTGAAAACAAATGGAAACATTTGAAACACTGAAAACAAGGGAGACATTTCTATTAGCATGAAGAGCACAGGTAAATTTACAAAATCTGTTTTGAATAGAGGGTCAAAGAGTATATAGGGTGTTCCTTCCAAATGCTTAATGTAAAACTTAAATTTCTTAATGTAAAACTGGCTATTGCATACTTTAAAAGCTTGTTGGCTTAAGCTTTCATATAATAATGTCAAAATTCTTACTAAAATATTTAGAACTTAAGATGCACTTTTTTTTAACTAGTATTGCTTCTAATTTCACATACTCTTTGAAATCAAATTTCTTTTTTCTTCATAGTATCCTGAATTAATTTGGATGTGGCTTCTTAGAAGTTGACACTCATACTTGTCTTTCAGCACAATAGTTCAAAATATTAAAATACCCCCCCCCCCCCCCCCCCCCGCCCCAAAGTGACTGATGCTTTCCATATTTGTTATTGTTGGGTTCCAAACATAACAGTTTCTGTTTAGGTTAGAAGTTTAGGAATATGTGACAGAGTGAAACGTTTGAAATGTTATTTTATTGGTATTACTTTTTAATATTTTTGCTGAAGTAGTGAGCACATCCTTGGAAGTAGCTATGGGCACTCCTCAGAGGCTTATGTTATTTGCTGTTATAAAAAGATTAGGCTAAGGTGGAACTAAGACAAAAAGCTATTCTTGACCAGTTGTTAATTAGAAAATAGGGAAAATGCCAACGTGGGGAATTGACTATTGCAGTTTTCACTACCATTACACAGAAACAGCAATGGTTTCAGTAAGAAAGGAAAGAGAAATTCTAAGCTTAAACTTTGTGCATTAGAGGAAAGGATTAGAAACGAAGAAATGAATTAGTAGTTGAAGAAAAGAGAAGGGAAGGCTGTCACAAGGTTTTCAGTGAGACTGATACAGGATAAGGCAAAGAAACAGGAGTACCATTGGGAAGTGGGGACACTGAAGTCATCAAGAGCTTGGGACATAAATGGGATTTTTGTTTCTCTGCAGTAGTAGTAAATTTAAGTAGGGTATCAACTGAAGTTTTCTGGTGCCCCTTGAACAGTTGCACCAACATTGTATTCTTGTATGGCATTCCAGAGGGGCTGGAGAACATTATATATATATAACGTTCCAGTGAAGTACATGTTCAATAACATACATAATTGATCACATACCTTTTAGCAGGAAAGCCTCAGCTTTGGTTTTGCACCCAGAAGTGAACGGCAGGATTTTCTGATTATTTTTTTCCTGTTACAAATTAGTAGTAAAAATGTAATACATAAAATAATTTTCAAAATGATGATTTTCACTTTTCCCTTGGAAATCGAAAAGACATTGTTTTAAGTGTACATGGTGTCCTTTACCTAACACCGCTTTGACCTGTCCTTAGGTGACTTTTCACAGTGTTCAAATGAAAGCCTTATTTCTTCTTTCTACAGTTACAATCCTCTTGGCTTGCCCTATGTGATCTTTTTTTTTTTTTATTCCTTTAACAACTATTACATCGCTTTTCTAACATGTCTTGCAGTATTTGATAAATCCATCATCACTAGGTTCCTTTTTGTTTCTTTGTCCTTCATTCAAAGGATGAATAAGACTTTCTCAGGTACATAGGGCACTTTGAGATTTAACAATCCCATTGAAAGCCAGAGATCTTTGGATAGCCTCCAGGCAGTTCTTTCCTCCTTTTTGTCTTATTCTTTTTCCTTCTATGTCCATATACTTGCCAAAAAAGAAGTCTTTAGAATAGGGTTTTGAGCCCATTCTGCTGAGAAGATCAAATTACATCATTTAATATTGGTTAGACTTTTTTTCCACTAGTCATGGTCCTAGCTACTGCAGTTCTAAAATAGCATATGGCTATGAAAAATTCAGAAGATTTTATATAATGGATTTTATAAAACTCATTTTATAAATACTAGTCATCCTAGTTTCATATCAGGAGACCTGCTTGACTTTGAAGGAAGGTGAATGTTCTAGTCTAAAAAAGTTAACAGTATTCTTTAAGACTGGTTTCCAGTTCACCTGCATAATGAAGCAAATCAACATACTCATTTGCAACTGTAATGCAAGCTAGCAGAAATATTTACAGTGTAGACATTTTCAGTGAAGCTCAGGCCAGGACAACAGAATTTGTGGTCATAAAGAATATTTTGCAATGACTTTTGGCTAATAACTATTTTTTTTTTAAACTTTCTTAACAGTAATATTCACATAAAATCTTAGGTACAGATACTTTAAAGATTGTACCAGCATCTTGAAACATATGTACTTATGTCTGTGAACATGTTATCACTTTATACCTATATATTTTATATGTATTCTTACTTTTATGTTTGTTTATATATAAAAAAAACCATTTCCACTTTTTATAGGAGGAAAATGAGAAGAAGAGTCACCACAAGGACCACTCAGATAATGAATCCACATCTTCTGATAAGTAAGTGTGGTATAACTGTGATAATTCTGTAGTTGGTTTTATGTGGTTTTATACATCATTCCCATTTTTACATTAACCTATTACATTTTTTATATTTGCAGCTCTGGTAGGAGGAGAAGAGGACCTTTTAAAACAATCAAGTTTGGGACCAACATTGACCTGTCAGATGACAAAAAGTGAGTTGATGACAGTTTCTCCTGCTCACAGTAGTATTCTACAGTATGATAATCCTTCTAGAAAACGAATGCGTTCTTCTCAGACATCAGTCAGTCTGTTGATAAACCCAATTCTAGTTGCACACCCCATTTCCATAATTAAATTGTTACCTTTGGTCTTTTAACTCTTGTTAAAGAGTTCTTCTCACCCTAAAATCTCTTTTCAAGCTTTTCTTTCCAGGATCTTTATTTTTCTTTTCCAGAAATAACCTTAAACATCCATCAGAAACTGTTCTTTCTAGTCCTCCTTCTAATACGTTCCCTTTGTTTCATTCTGAGGCTTTAAATTGTTTGCTTACAACTTTAATTACTTCTGACAATAGCAAGTTTTCAGTCTTTGCACAGAAATTGTGAGATTAAAGGTTTTTTCTTTTTCGTTTGTCTGGATTTTTGTTACTTGTTTTTTGGGTTTTTTTGTTCCTACTGTCATCCTTCTGTTTCTAATTTTTCATAGCTCTTGCTTCTCTATTCACAGACAGGGTTCAAAATATGTACTGAAGACCAGACCAGTGCTTACCTGTGGATAAGCCATGATAACTCTGCCAAAACATTTAAAAAAAAAAAAAAAAAAAAAAAATTGTGTATTCTTTAGACAACATATCTTTCTGTGGGTAGATGAGAGTAGCTCAGAAAACCATCAAAAAGTACTAGAAATACTCTGAAAGCTAGTATACTAGAAATACTTTTTCCCAGTAATAATTTTTTTATTTATTTCAATCTCTAGTTAGTGTACATTTCCATAAAAAGATCTAGCATGTCTAGGCTGTTAGTCCTGCCAGCTGCAGTACAAAAATTATGATCTACTTCAATTATTAGAGCAGAAGAAAAGGTTATGGTATTTGAAACTGGGGAATAAGATGCTTAAGATGCTGAGGTCTTTTGTGGTATAGTCACTGAAGGATCAATGTGCGTACATAGGTATGTGATTAAAGTTTGTTACAAAATTTTAAATATTGATGCTATTTTTTTCCTAATGAAAATTCCAACTGTAGATATAAAATTGTTGCTAATAAACTAGCACTCAGAGCAAACCATTGGGCTTTAAATTAACATAAGCATAACTAACCTGAGGCTCATAGGAAATTGGATTTTGATACTTTAAATAGTTCTTGTAGGATCCCAGGTAGATGCCTGGTCTTCTGATCTGCAGTCTCAGCTTTTGCTACAAAACTATCTTCTCCCTCAACTAGCCTGTCAGGTTTGTGATTGTATTTGGAAATATTTCAAAATTAAAAGAGTAACACAGATACCTGGGTGACATTACAGAGCTCCACACTTGGGATTTTTGTGTTTGAAGATCTGTGTTTTTCCTAATGCAAGTTCCATGGTACATCCACGTAGTTAACTTCCTTCTTGGTCCCAGAAATTGTGTGCACAGGCTCGGATATGTTTAGAGAGTCTTCTTGACATATGTTGTAGCATCATATCGTTTGGCTCCTGAAAGCATGGTTAGCAGTTTCTGACTGGCTTAGAGTGTGAGCAGAGCACGACTCTGTTTTCACTTGGAAAAGATGTATACCGAGGTGTAAATTGCAAGCAGAATTTCCTGGCAGTATAGCAGCAGACTGGCTAACTGCAAGAGTGAGTCCAGTCACCCCAGCTTTTAGCTCACCATTAAATGAAATTGTCGTTTAAATTTCTGTAACTGCCAAGTAAGGGTATTGCTTTGTCTCAGCTTCCCTCTTAAGAGATGCTAAGTTACATAGAAGTAAGTTGTCTGCTCTTTTATCTGCTATGCTAACAATTTTTGAAAATGTTTATATTAAAAATTTTTTGAAAATGTTTATATAAAACTCTTCTAAGAGTTTTAGGGATTCACAGTTCGTTGATTTGCTGTTTTGCTGCAGGTGGAAGTTGCAACTCCATGAACTGACAAAACTTCCTGCTTTTCAGGAAATCTTCTAAGCCATGTTGGTCATACCATCCTGGGCATGAACACAGTGCAGTTGTACATGAAGGTTCCAGGAAGCAGAACACCAGGTGAATATAATCTCTTTGCATGAAAAAAAATCAGGTTCTACTGCTGTGGTGTTGATTTAACTGCACTGCAGATTTTCCATATCTTACAGTATGACTAACATGATAAAACTGTACATATTCAGTATTTTTTTAATTTCTTGTTTAATTGAACTCTGCATGTATGAAGTACTAGACTATTTTATAGTGGAATTTCTGGGTTTCTGCAGTGCTAGGTAATTACCATACTAACCTCTTGCATGCAATGCTAGATTCTTTAAGGGGAAAAAGAGGATGGGTTTATATACTTGGACAGTATTTGTATTTTACATGCCTTGAAAGTTTTTATAGGCTTCCAAAGTAGGTCTTGTGCAATCATAGAAATCAGTATACTTTCACTTTTTAGATTCTTTATTGTCTGAGGATAGGACTCAGCCTTCCATAATGAATAATGCTGTGTTAGAGCACTGGACTGAGACTTGAGGGATCTGGACTAAATTTCAGGGTCTGTTTTTTCTGAAGTACAACTTCAGATAATTCCATTAGGGATTATAGCTCAGTTTTCCAGCTGTCAAGATAAAATACTGGCATTTCTACATTGATTTTGAAAGCTCTTTGAGACAGGTTTTCTTACTGCTTGTCTATTCAGTGCCTGAAGTCGTGAAGTTTTGCTCCTGACTGGGACTGTCAAGAGCTATCATAAAACAGACAATCTAAGCCTTAGCATCTTGAAGCATTTATTTCTACAAAAAGGGAACTGCTGAAGTATTGGTCAGATTTGCAAGATTGGTAGTTCCAGCTTTTCATTTTCCGCAAAGTAGCAAAAGCAGAATTCTCGTGTCAGTGGTAGCTTAACTGCTTTTCTTAACACTGTGAAGCACCTAAATAGCATGTGTAAGTGTCATATAAAAATATGCACAAATACAAATAGGGTTATTTAGTAATTGTAACTTTGCATTTCCATAGCAGCATTTTGATGAATCAGCCTTACATGAAGTGTGTTTATTTTTCTCTAAATTTCAGGTCATCAAGAAAATAACAACTTTTGTTCAGTAAATATAAATATTGGTCCAGGTGACTGTGAATGGTTTGTTGTCCCTGAAAGCTATTGGGGTGTCATGAATGACTTCTGTGAAAAGTAAGCTGGGCGTGCTGTTTTTCTCTATTTTTATCAAGTTCTCTGTGCCTTTCTCAGACCTAAGGGGGGAAATTACTGAGGGTGTTGCATTATTACTGAGGGTGTATTATTTTACAGGTTTTCCATGTAGTCAGAAAGTCTTCTAAAATAAGTCAAAATGCAAAATCTAGAATTTATACAAAACCTGATATTTATACAATGTACAGAAACTTGGATTGCCGGTGATAGTTTTGCTCTCAAAAATTAACGTTAGGCCCATTATTTGTTTTTTTCGAACACAGGAATGAAGGAAATAAAAGTGAGAGATTGGTAGTAGCAAATGGTTATCTAAGGTCAAGATTCAATTTTATACTACATTAAGGGGAACAGAAGTTTAGTATAAGCATAGGCTGTCCGCTACCAATGTGTATTATGTGGCATCAAGCCAGTTTTCATAGTATAACATTTCCACATCAGAAGATCCATCACAGTCCTTGCTGTTTATCTAGGCACTCTATCATGCATATTAAAGCTGACCTGCGATTACCAAATGGTGATGCTTTTGTAATGGCTTCTAGGGCTGTTGCAGTGGAGCAATGGAACAAAGTTGGGGGTGGAGGAGTTGGAATTTTGTTTTGTGTTTTTTAGGAGCGATGGAGTAAAGTGTTTTCCTGGTGATGTATGCTGTTAATCTTTATTATGAGTAATGTAAATGTTGTACACAAGCAAGTACAGAGTCATTGGTATTTTGGCATGGTTTCTTGCTGCATCTAGAGGGAGAGCTTAGTTTACTCAGACCCCAGGAGGTGTCATGGCATGCTTTGCGTACGCTTACGTGTTTGTAGCTTGCTGGAAAAGTTGAGGTGCACTGACTGTTGGGGAAACAGTCAGCCAGCTCTAAGATTGGGGTTTCTATGTTGCGCCTTGTGTTGAGTGGATACTTTAAAAACAAACAAAACACACACACACGCACCCCTCTCTGCACCCCCTGCACCTCCACCTCCCCCCCCCCCCACACCACCATTTTTTTAAGAGGAGGAGCAATTGTGTCCCCTAATCATGCTGGTATTCAAGCAGTGGCCTCTGAAGCTGATCTTACAGGAGAATTTTTTTTTCTTATCTTGCCCAGTTAAAACTGGACTAAGCTCTTGACCTTTCTTCAGCACTTTTCCAGAGCTTTGCAAGTTCATCTCTGTGTCTCTGTACTCTGTTTTCTGCCTGCCTACTGACAACTGTTCTTATTTCGTCCACCTTTACAAAGATTAGCCATCTCAAAATTGTAATGCCACTGATGCAATTGCAACATCTCTGATGCCGACATGCCTTTTATCCCCATGATGTTGTCCTCCTGAGGGTGACAGAGAAACTGAGATCTTGGTAACATCATAAAATGTCTAGAGTGCCTTATAGAGGCACTGAAGTCTCTTTGAAAACTGTGAATTGCGAATGATCTCTCATAGTGCAGTATAAAAACAGTATAAAATTGGGATAAGGATGGGAAAGAAGTATGTATTTTGCATAACCATAGTGGAAGAGTTTGTGTTTAGGAAATCCATATGGAGGTGTTTTTTAATGCTTCTCAGGAGGGTCAACTTTCCTTGGCTGAGTATAGCATAGACCTGTGGATCGCAGTTGAGGTGGTTCCAACAGGTTGCTTGTTGTGTGGGCAAGCCTCACGTGCATACGCTGACAGTATGAGTACGTGGTTGGCATTGTTCAAAACAGAAAGCATTCTTAAGAGCTGGTACGGTCTGTATATAAAATCAGTCACTGGTTAAAAAAAACAGCATTTGGCATCAGTGTGACGCTAGATCTGACCAAGGATTTATCTGCCTCAGCATTAATAAAATACTGGGAAATTAATTAATAAAATACTGGGAAAATAGAACATAACTGGAAGCCATAAACTGACTTCACATGGGCAGCCAGATGGTTAAGTGTTTTAATGTACTGCAGGATATGAAATGTGGAATTAGGATCAGGAATTTTATAGATGAAACTTTCCTTTTGACTAGTCCTCCTGGGTCACTGGTTTAGATGCAGAAAGCATTTATTGTGGTGATCAGTTTTTACAGGTAATTTCATTGAAGTGTCAACCACTAATACGTCTGCTGATAAATGCTGAAGACTTTATTTTTCCTATTGTTTCAGGAATAATATGAATTTCCTCATGGGATCTTGGTGGCCAAACTTGGAAGATTTGTATGAAGCCAATGTCCCAGTTTATAGGTTTATTCAAAGACCAGGGGATTTGGTGTGGATAAATGCTGGCACTGTTCATTGGGTTCAGGCTATCGGCTGGTGCAACAACATTGCGTGGAATGTTGGCCCTCTTACAGGTACGGTTGAATAGTGCCTGTGCTGAATGATGTAATTAGGTCATATTATACTACATATGCGACAGAACCTGCCATTTCTTACTAATTTATCATGCTTTACTAGATTAAAAAAATGAACATACTGTATTTTGAAACATTATGTGTTGAAGCTTTAAATAATTCCATTGCTAAGAGGAAGTGAGAGAAGCAAGAATGCAGTCTTTGCACTTGTCCATTTAATGGACTTGTAAAAATTACAATTGTGTAGCAAACACTAGCAGAGTAAAATGTTTAGATGCATTCATACACTCTGTCTTGTAGGCCATTTCTTAACTTTTTCTCCCAAAATTTTTTCTGCCCAGCAGACTGCGCTATAGCTTGCATATGAGTTGAGGACTTGTCCAGTCTAACTTTTGCAGGACAGGAAATACCTAACTGGTCTTCAGTGAAATGCAAACAGTTGTAAAATTTTGTTCATAAAGGAATATTAGGTTTTTCAGACTTGCTATTCTAGAAGTTTTTAGTTTTGAACCATGGTCTTGGAAGGTTTTTAGAAGTGAGAATGGAAGGAAATTTCACAGCTAAAATGAGATTGTGTCAAGCATTTGAACAGAATGTACTTCCAAAAAAAACCTGTTTTCTTAAATAGTTTGAGGTGTGTCTTTGTCATTATGATGCAATAAATAGTGTATCTCCAGGATTGTATGATTGACTGATACAGAGCTCACATGTTCAGTTGCAGTAAATTTTGTAAAACATTTTTAAAAAAAGGGCGGGGTGAGTAGGCTGCTTAATGGAAAAGTCTCACTCATTGCAACAAATCTCTTAAGGTGCAGTCTTCCTTTTCAAGACAAATTATATACCACAGCATTGTAAAATTATGATAAAGAGTGAATAGAGTGACATGCAGACATTTCAAATTTAGATTATTTTTTTTTAATCTCAAATATTTGAAAATTTATTAAGCGACCCTTTTTGAAATGTTGCTCTCTCTTCACCATAGAAATCAAATGCTTGTCAGTAACTTGTTTTCACAGATATTTGTTGCTGCTGTTGTATTGTGCGTTCTTTTAGCATCATAAATACACCTTTTAAAAGAAATTTTATAGAATTCAAGTGTAGTTGGAACAAATGGGTCATTGCGAATGAAGTTTAATCTAGACCTAAAAGGTATAAATTTTGGTTATAATCAAATTATTTTGGCTCCAGTTGATAGTTATTTCTTACCTTGACTGATTGCTTCTGTAATTTTGTTTTTGTATAGCCTGTCAATATAAATTGGCAGTGGAACGGTACGAGTGGAACAAACTGCAGAGCGTGAAGTCCATAGTACCCATGGTTCATCTTTCATGGAATATGGCTCGAAATATCAAGGTCTCCGATCCAAAGCTTTTTGAAATGATAAAGTAAGTTGTACTTATTTGAACACTTACTGTACCCATGTCCCCTCCAAGCATAAAACAATAGTTGATTTGTAAGTAATCCTTTGTAAGACTTTTCCATTCCTGAGAATCAAGCCAAAATTATTTTATATTCTGTTTTTCAAAAAATCCATTTATAGATATCATTAGTTTTATTACGTTGTATTTGATGTTATTGTGGCATAGCTTTAGAATGATCTAATTAACTTTTTTGTTAAATACGCCATAGACCTAATACAGCAGTTCACGGAAACAGTTGACCTAGATGACAAAAGCTGTTCAGAGTATGTACCAGAAAAAATAATAAAATTAGGTCATCAACCCAAATATTAGAATTAGAATATTTAGTCATTTTTACAGCAAAGTTAAACTTAATTTTACGTTTCTAGAACTTCTAGTTAGCACTCACGCACTGTCATTTGGAGATCCAGTATAAATGTTTTAAATAAAGGCAAGTAGGAATTTGAAAGCCTCCTTCCCTTTGCTCTTTCTTCTGAACAATGAAGTAATTGATGTGTAAAATGATAATTGAGTTTAGTGACATTTCTCATATGCATATTCCAAAATGCAGGAATATTCCAGGCTCAGAGCATCTTTAGTCATTTTCTTTAAAGAGTTAATTTTCAAGCAAATATAAATCATATTGCAGCACCATTATACCTAGGTTGAGGAATGAATGGATGTTACAGCATATATCGTAGGTTTGTCCTAAAAAAAGTGAGGGAATGAATTCCAAAGCAAATAACTCGTCACGAGAATACTCCAATAGCAGCACTCTCTGTTTTCCTTAAGCCTACCAAAGGAGCTTCTACCTTGAGTACTTCTTAGTCTTTTCAACATATTGGATCCACAAGTATTGAATCCTTTTATAATTTGCCTTGAAATGGACCTTTGAAAAATGGGTAGGTTAACTTGCAAAAAAAGGGCAAAGAAAAAAGAATTTCTTTTTTTCCCCCAGTAGGATTTATTGATGACATCTGAGTGAGACACCTTTTTACAGTTAGGAATTTAGTTCAGGTTTGAACATCTGTTTCAGAATGGTGGAATTGGTGAAATGGTAACTTTGTAAGAACCAAGAATGTTGGAAGTTGAAGACAGGGCGGGAGGTTTGTAGTCACTGTAAAGCTGGATTTTGGAATAGCATTTATCTGTGAATACTTTCTTAAAATCTAGTAACTAGTATCTAGAGTAAAAAAAAAGTCTTTGCTGAAGGCTTGACAGTCCTGCCCCTTCAAATTAAGCTATTAGTGCGCATGGTCAAGATGCCGGCTGTCATAAAAGGAAGATGAGAAACTGAATAGTTAGTAATGAGGAAAGGAGAAAGGAAGCAGGCTCTGTGGGAGGGAGGAAGCCAAGAAGTCCATTTTAAAACAAACAAACAAAAATCCACCGCAAACTTATTTCACGATTATCTTCATATATCTTCCCAAGCACAGCAGGCAACTGTGGTAAAGCTTGAAACAGTTCTGGAATGTTTTTGGCAAAATATGATTTCAATATTTTGGCACCTATATTTTGCATTTGCACAAGTTTGGGGTTTTTTGGCAGGGTTTAGGCTTAAAAGGAGAAAAACACGACTGAGCATAGCATCCTTCTCCAAGAGAATCTCTTAAAATGTTGTGAAGAAACACAGAGGACAAAATGGTTGTTTCCTTTTGTCTTGCTGGCTGACAGCAGCTGAGCTTTCTCTAGTGAGAGACCTATATTTTACATGTACATTACAAATAAAAGCGCTGAGGAGCAGATACAAACTTTGGTCTTGCATGCGTTTGCTTTTTCCAGTCTACTGAAACCACTTCCAGTTTACTTGGATTAAGCCCTCCATCCAAGTTAGTTGTCAGCCACATCCCAAGTTCCATGCTATGTGTGCAGAGTGGAAGATGATCCAATGATGAGTTCTGGTTTGTAACATCTAGTAGGAGTAACCTGAGATAACTCTTTGTTGTGGTCACTTCTATAGTTATGGTATAGCTTTTACTAGAAATGGGTGTCACCAGAATAAACAGTCTAGTATCTGATCTTGACTTTGTAAGCATACTGGAAATGCAGAAACCTTTATGAATTTTCTTAAGATAGGAAAGCAGTTGCATAATTTTCCAGTGGACTGCTTGTCTGCAGGAGCACAGCACCAGCTGGGAAGTAGCTATTGTCCACTGCTTCTGGATTTTGTTATGCACAAAATATAGACATTTGTGTGTTTATGTATACGTGTGTGTGTGTATGCATGTGTATAAAAACACTTGAGAAATAGTGATTTCTGATACAGCTGGTTGAATTTCATCTTGAATAGCTGACTTTTCATTTTTCATCAGGAAAAAAAAAAAGGTATCACTGACACAGCTGTTATCTTTTTGCCAAGATGCCCATCTGTATCTAAAATTGCACATCAAAGATACCTGAAGTGTTCAGGCAGTTTGACTCCTGTCTCTGGGGCTTCTTAGGTATCAGAATAGTACAAAAGAATAGCTCTTGGAAAATGATAAAAAGTAGTTTATAATTCCAATTTGAAAGTTAAATACAAATATGTCTTACTGGGTCATGTGAGAGTAACCACTACATAGGTGATAAACTACAATTTAAGCGTACATATAAATATTGGGAACCAGATTAATGATGAAAAGAAATAGAACAGTAGTAGGGAAAAAAAAAAAAAAATACAAGGAAACTTTGCTTTTGGAAGAACTCTGAAGCCTCCTTATACTCTTAGTTAATGTCCAACTCGGTGCTGTCTTGCTAGACAAAAGACAAAGAGCAAAAATTGAAACTTTCTTACGAAATGTTTTTTAAAGATTTGATATTACCAGTAGAATCATGAGCAGGAACACAGGCAGGCGGAATGATTTAAAATTAGACTGAGGGAGCGCAGCCCTCAAGAAAAGAAAAATTAACCGCAAGCCTCATAGATGGAAGCTAGAAGGACTTTTACAAATGCATCTGAGGAAGAGAAGAATTTTAAAGGTAGTGGGAACATAGTAATAAAGGCTTAAAAAATTAATTCCAAAGTAACTGAAATACTAAGTTCTTTTACAAAAATAGTTTTAGAAACATAAAAGAACATGACATGGGAGAAATGATTTTGCACAAAACCATGAAGCCAGATAAAATACATTTCAATATCAGTAGGGAAGTTATATTACTGAAAGATAGAAAGAGGTCAGTTTTGCATTGTCATTGGGATGGTCTCCACACTTGAAAAATTTTTTTACTGGATATCTAAATATTCAAACAGGTTTCTCACTGCCCTTCTGGAATAAATCAGGATGCTGTCCATTTTAAAATCTTCTCTTGAATACTTGAATTTGACTGGACATGATTTATTCGTACTCTTTCTGCCATACCTGTAAAGAATTGGAGAGAGAGTTATGGTCCAGATTTTCTTTTAACTGAGTTCTCACTGTACAAGAATAAAAGCAGGCCTACAATACTAAAAGCTGACACTGTTTAACTTATACATTGTGACTCTGCTAGACACCTTTTTGGCTTTCTTTAGGCTTCCCATACTTCAGGAAATTGTGGTGCATTTTCAAAATGATGGTCCATATGCTTTCTCCCATTCTTTGACAGCATGAAATGGTTAACGTTAATGTTTTCAAGTGCCATTACCAGGGCCTCAATTTTATCCAAGGAGGGGGAATTCACCTTCTAGCTATTGTTTTTGGCTTTGGTTGCAAATTTGACAAACACCGCAGCAGTGTTATACGTGGGTTACATTTTGGGCAATTCTTTCTTCACAACTGTAACACTAGAAAACCCTTTGAAAACAACACTTTGAAAACTCTTTGGAAGTCAAGAGTGGGGAGCAATGGTGGCAAGTGTGCAGATGTGCTTCCAGTTGCTCTTTGGCCTACCCAAAGATTTTTTTCCAGTTAACATCAGGAAAGAAGAGAAGAATGGTAGCTTTTAAGTTTATTTGAAATCAGGCTGTATTGCATAAAAGAATGCTATACCAAAGGTACTGAACTTGTCAGAAGCACATCTACGTTAGCCCGACACTCAAGTGAATTAATACGTGATCTATTGCATATGGTTGGCCTTAGCATCGTAAGTCCCATTAACATCAAACTTGGAAAGTGTTGAAGGAGTTACAGATAAATGAGCTGTTTAGTTTTCTCGAAATTCAGTGTATGAAAATGTTTAACATAGAAACATGCTTTCAGTTTTGCATTATTCTTGCAGTGAGGGTATTAATGAAGCCATAGACTTGTTTTTAGTGAAGATGAACAGTCTGAGTGTAAAACATCAAGAGGAGAGTATCTCAAAGTAAGCCTAAGATTCTATTAACTACTTGGAAACACATGAAAGAAACTTTTTTTTAAAAAATAAGGAACGTATATATTACATGTTTAAGGCTTTAAAATGGGAGAAGGATCAAGTTGAAAACATTTTGATAGAACTCTTGAGCACTTTGTTTTCTGTCCAATGTTTATTCTTCCCCTTACATTTTTTCAATCTTCCTTCTGCATCTAATGAGCATGTAACATAACCACCCTGTGGAGGAGAAAATTAAAGGCTGCAAAGGCTGCAGCTCAAATGAATAGGATAGCTGAGAGCTAAAAATTACTGTAAATAACATTGTAATTTAGAAATCTAGCAACCTATTTTGCCAACTTCTTTTTAGAGAACATATGTAGCTCATACAAGCCTAGAAAACAAGTTAGATTTTCTAGTACAGAAAAGAACTGTATAAAATTATGAAGATAATTTTTTTTTTTTATCCTTTACAGAAGTAGGGCAGGGAATTCCTGATTTTAATTTGACATTTGACCAGTACGTTTCTTCATTCAAAAAATAAGTGTTAAAAATTTTTTTTTAATGTTTGGTTTTTTTTCCTGTGAGAGGAGTTCCTTTTCTAATACCAACCTGTCTATTCTTTTTCCTTTTACATGGAAGAAGATACTTGTTGATAGATTTTATTTCCACTGTGTGCAGAGTGATTCCTGTCAGAACTTGATTTTCCAGACTTTGGATAACTGAAAGTTTAGCAGTGTTGAGGGCGTAACAGGGTTTTTAGGATGTTAGTTAAAGCAGTTCTTTGGATAGGCTATAGTCATTTACACAAAATGTAAACAGTTATTTTGAACTTGGCAGTTCAAACTAACTTTTTGCTGATAAATTTATAGTTCAAAATAAAATACGTGAATTGCTTTTGAAAACACATTGTTTTATTGTGCTTAAGAGAGCATTCATACATTCCAGTCAAAAACGAAAGTTACAGCCTGTTTGCAGTGCAAGGGGTGGTACCGAAATGGAACAAATCTACACAGAGGTCTATAAGCATGTGGTCATAACTTCAGCGTAAGTCATGGGTCCAGTGATTCTTACTAGCCAGCTGTTTCTGGAGTCCCAGAGGAAGAGTAAACTCCAGGTACAGGGTCTTGGAAGAAATTGAAGCCTACTTGAATCTTGCTATAAAGTTGAATATTGAACTGAATATACACCTGATTTTGGTTGCAGGTACTGCCTGTTAAGAACTCTCAAACAGTGTCAGACACTGAGGGAAGCTCTAATTGCTGCAGGAAAAGAGATTGTCTGGCATGGGCGAGCAAAGGACGAGCCAGCTCATTACTGTAGCATTTGTGAGGTCAGTAAAAATATGTGTGGGGCTTGTGTACTACTATAATATTTATTTAAATTTTGTCCTGTCTTTTGTTGTTGTTGTTATTTTAATTTTGCTTTTAAGTTGCAGCATCTACTATATGCTATAAGCACATATATGTGATGCAGTAGTGTCTTCAAAGAGCTTACCAAGCTGTTTTTCTAGACATAGGCTGTATTTTGCTACAGTCTCTTCCTCAGTACTTCCACAGCATTGTTATTCACTAGGTTGATTTTCAATTCCCAGTTATTATAAAAAGTTGTTATCCCTTCCTGCATATAATTTGATCTGCTGAGCTTCATTTTAAAGGTGTATCTGTCTTCATTTCAGAAGTCAACAACAGCCCCAAAAGAGAGAAAATTTAAGTACATTTTAAGGCATACCTTTTTGCTGAAATTTTTGATTCTACTTTCTGTTAATGGTTCCTTTAAAGTATTGGATTATTCCTACCCCCCTGAAAATCAGTTTCTAGTTATCTTCTGACTGAGCCTCTTGGGTAGGATGAGCATGTGACTGAGTAGAAAGGAAAGAAATCACAAACTTCTTTTGCAGACAAATTTTTAAAAGGAAAATTAGGTATAATTGTTATAAATCCCCACCATACTGAGTAACTCCTATTCAGAGTATGAATCCTGCTTTGTCAATATTGACCAAAAGCTTTCCCATAGCACTGTTCATGCAGACATCCTAAGTGTAATATTATTACAATATTTCACTTCTCTGCCTGAGCCTTAGGAGGACAGATTTTCCCTGAACAAATCTAATTTTTCTCTTTGCATGCACAGGGTAAGGCTGTAAATCTTAAAGAAAATACAGTTTTCATGTTTTAACTTTTAAAAAATGAAATTCTAACAGTTGACTTTCTGTTTCCTATCTAATAGGTGGAAGTCTTTGATCTGCTTTTTGTCACTAGTGAGAGCAATTCTCGAAAGACCTATGTTGTACATTGCCAAGACTGTGCACGAAAGATAAGCACGAACCTGGAAAATTTTGTGGTGCTAGAACAGTACAAAATGGAGGACTTGATGCAAGTCTATGATCAATTTACATTAGTAAGTCAAATTAATAAGTGGGTGCATAAATACATTATTTGTAAAGCAGTTGTAGACTGTCTTGGTACTCCATTGTATGAGTACCGTGGACTTTCTGATTCAAATGGAGGTATGGGTTGTGTGTGATATTTACAGAACAAAACGCTGAAGAGTCAGAATTATGTGAAATAGTACAGTAACTTACTGCAGAACATAACCGCTGAGTTTTCAGGAAAAGTATGATGTTACAATTCATAAAGTTGTGGCTTTAAAAATCCAATAGAGATCACCTGAAGACCATAACTGGATCAGATGGAGATGGGAAGAATCAGGACAGTGAAGCTTGGAGAAACTAGCACCAGGTTCAAGAGCATCTCTAATACATTGGTTGTGGTATGAAGTCAGTATAGCAGCAGAGCATCCTATGCACTCAGACCCCTTCCCTCCCCTTCCCCACCCATCCCCTCCCAAATCAGCACTGTCCTTCTGCTTAGCAAGTGGATGCTCTCAAACAGTTCTGTCTTTTGGCTTGGGGCCTCCTTTGCACTTCAATTTAAAGCAAAAAGCCTCTTTGCCATTATAGCTTTGTGCTATATATGGCAGCCTCCTGCTTTGAACTGTGTCAGCACAACTGTCCTAACATTTCACCCAGGTTTCATTGTTTCAGGCAAAGATGGCTTGTTTGTAATCACAATGAAAGTGTTGCTGGATTTATTTATAAGCCTTGCCTTTCTGTTAAAGGAGACAAACATTGGACAAAGCATTATGAGAATTTCATGTTGAATTAAACAGAACAGCCCAGAAACGGCTGTGCCTTTTGATTCATTTCCAGGTGCTGCAGGAAAATGTATGTTTAGACAATTATTTCATGTAATGCTAGCATGATAAGTTGTGACCTTTTGAGCTAAGGCCTCAAGGTTCAG